CAAAATAAGGTTTCTGAAGTCCTCCAATGCAAATGGTAACTTGGTAGCTATAGCATGCTACTAGTGTACAATAACGATGATGGGACTCGTATCCCTTTGACCACTACTGGTACGACTTTGTACTTACTAGTAACCCGACGACATGTTGCACTAAGAGACGACTTTGCCCCCCGAGAGATTGAAGTGGTGGTGGCAGCAGATGGCATTTTTCATCGCCAAAACGTTCTTGTGGTGTTGCAGTTGACAAAAGGGAGTTTGTATGGGGCCAAAAAGGAGCTAGCACTTCCTGGTTTCGATCCAGGGACCTTTGGGTTATGAGCCCAACACGCTTCCTCTGCGCCAAAGTGCTGTCTGTGCTGACTTCCATGTAATCAAACATACTGTGAAGTATCTGTAACTCGAGCCAACAGTCGAGCTGGTGTTAACGGCAGCATCATCCAAGTGTACAGAATGCAATTACCCGCTTAATTTCGCGACGTTGCTTAATTCACACTGAAATAACACTGTAATTCGTGCCCACTAGTACGGTTTTGCTTGCTAGTCTGTGGGTCTCACTACATACAGCTCAAGTAATCGAATGATCATCCGATTTCAACCAAATCTTGGTCGTGTTTTTGCCGCCATCTACATGTCTAAGCCTACCATGGAATTGACCCCCCTAGTGGCTACCAATAGACAACGCTCTCGCGGACAAGATGGATAAATAAACTAATTAAACTATCGTCGGAGGTCAAGGTCGGAGGCTGCTGCTGCTTGTCGTGTGGATGCGTTCGATGGCGTGTGCCAAATCTGTTTCGACCAAGTCTTTGAGCCGGCAAACTTGGTGAAGGGGCTCGGTCACCGTGGGCGCGCTCGTTAGGATCTCGCGGAGCTGGTCGACTAGTCTTTCTTGAGCGTGCCCCAGCACTACCCAGTCATGCCGCACCTGCCGTTGCATCGAGTGCACTTGCGAAACTTGGATATTTGTATCTGCTGGGCGGCGTTGTTCGGGGGGTGACGGGGGAGCACGTGCCAACGGCGCCTGTGCTCGGCATCTGTTTTAAACGAACATCTCGGGAAAAATCTCATATAAAAGTACCCCCATTCGATCTACCACGACCAGGAGCTGCCGCTGCATGTCGCGTAACATCGCGTCCATCGACGATTGGAACGCCGTGATGAGGTTCTTTTCGTGGGCCAACACGAGGGCCATCAGCCTATCCAACAAAGTTCCATCGTTGGTCATGACTTTATCAGAGTTTTGCGTACTGAAGTCGCGCGGTCTGCCATTCTAGTTCGTCCAGCACCTGCGACACTGTGTGAGTGTGCATACCCGTTGCATACATGATGTGTTTACGTGATCCAGGTGCTCCAAATGACGCTCTTGGCGGAGGTACTTGTTGGGGTAATCCCCAACGACAAGGGACGATACCCTAGCGTCGGCCACGGCGTCCAACAATGCTGGCACAGTATGCTCCATCCATTGAGCGATTTCGCCCTCGTCCCTAGAAACGTGCCACGTGTCATGGATGTCATTGGTTCGTTGAACGGGCGTACAAATGGGATTGGCTGGGTGAGGCCACTTGGTCGTCTCGAAGTGTCAGGTTGGCCTGCAACCAGGCCATTTCCACTGCCACGAACTCGGCCCGCCACTGCTCAATCGCTTGCGACCACGACTGGTTGTAATCGAATGAACCCCCCGCCAGAATCTCGTCGTGCGCGGCCAATGCTTCCAACATCCATGTGACAGTGTGGGACTGCATGGGGGACTCGGCAATCACGGAAAGTTGGCGCGGTGGCGACGAATTTTGAAAGTATGGCATCACATGCGCTTGGATGTGATCGAGCATCTTGTCCTCTTGAACGCTCAAGGAAATGCAAGACGTAGGACTCAGTACGGCTAACTCCAACGCGTTCGATCCTTCAGCCAACTAAACACCGTCAACATCGCACTGATGTGTAGGCAAACCATCATAACTACATACATGGTCAAGGATATGATCGAGAGCTTCCATGCCGCTAGAAGTTTCCAGGGGGTATGTATGCACTTGTCTTGGACCCATTCGCACTGCTTGGCCTTCTGTGGCCGCAATGTGCCGGCGCAGGATATCCGCTTTCCTTGATTCCTTCGAATGCTGCCGCTCCAGTCGCGCAATATCGGCAAGAAGGCGCGATTCATCGTCGTCCACTTGTTGCATGGACTCCTTCGCTTGCAGCTCATCGCCAGATTCGAGATGTAGGGAGGCTAGAACTGCCTGCTCGGCCGCTGTAAACTGCTTTGCCGTGGACTGGTCAGGCGACACCACGTCCAGAAACCAGTGGAGAAACGCGTGGAGACGCACCGATGGTGACTGGTAAAGTTCATGGAACATGTGCGGCATTAGCTCCAATGGACAGCCCATCTGCTGAAGTTTGTGACAGAGTTTGACCCCCGACGAGGTCGATCGCGGTGACAGAGGACGCATGGGAAAATTCGAATCCGGATAACATTAAAGTATTCTGGTACATCCGGTACAATCCGCACGATCCGAAGGTCGGAACAGCGCTCAAATCGAACGACCAATGGAAGTCATCCGGGGTCATATTTATCGAGCGCCAACGCTTACTGTTCTGTAGCTTGAATCAACCCCTGATCATTTGTGAATTCACCAACTTGCCAAAACATGGGAGCTCCTGTCGATTTCGACCATCCCCACATGACCCTGCGTAGCCTGGGGACATATTTTGGCCGCAACTCTCGTGTAAGATTGAGGTTTCGCTCATGAAATCAAGCAAATCAAGGACATCCTCAAGGATCACGACACTCAAAATCATATTCTCCCCCTGAAATTTCACCGCCACATCAAGCCCCCCAGCGCCATTTGGTGGAAAAGGAAGTAGTCGCCGGAAAGAAAGTCCCCTTCAGTAAGACGTTGGCCAAGCGAAAACGTTTGGAGATGCAGGCAAACGCCACAAACGACGACATGATGTTGAAGACCCATTTATGAAACGGAGGACTATGAGATCGCCCAAAGGATGCAGCACTCAGCGCCCGCCTTCTTGTTAGCTGTAAACTAAATAATTTCGACTAACGTTAGTAAGGTGATTCAGGTAATTCCCGGCCAGCTTGGCCTACTTTCTGAGTGCCTTAACTCGTCACCCATTCATCCGATGAGGCTGCGAACACATGCATTTTGAAGATCGTGACGAGCTTTATAACTTTATGAAGGTCCTATCATTTGTATCGCATGGTCAATTTGCTCGTCGAATTTCTAAAATTGAAATTTCCCTGTGTGAATTTAATTCCCGGCCAGTAAGTCACTTGAATAATGTATACCTGATTTGGGTGACAAAATCCTCAGAACCTCTTAATAATGATATGTATAAAGTGTTCAAGTAATTCAATTTAGAAGTGCAACTAATACAAAAACAGTATTACATGTCCGACAAGCAGAATATCAAATCTTACAAGTATTTGAAAATAGAGTACGTATTTTTGTCCAATCATCGTCCATGGATGATTGTGATTGGCCATTTGCATGCCGGGAATTGCATGCTGGCCGGGACTTTCATGAATCATCTTATGTACACTTACAGTCAATGTCGCTCCACCACGTATCGAAATACCAAGACAAGCGACAAAGTTGCGCATGCTCGCCCCAGAGCATTCGCCCAGTGATCTAATTAGACCTCTTGACGTATGAAATGAATCCTCAAACTTACTCTAAAAACCAAGAGGAAACGTTTAAAGCACAGTACCGTTGTGCAAAAAGATACGCACCATGATGTACGGTACATAGCAATTTTTCCACCTTGAAGTCTGTTGGTTGCTGCGATGATGTAGAGATTACATAGGGGGGCGGAGTCCCTGCAAACCAGCATACAGTACGTTATACACATCCATTCATTCGTCAAGAGGTCTACCGGTAATCAGCAACTTCAAATTTTGAACTCGAATACAGTACTAGTACTGCTAGTACATAGTACGTGATGATGTGCCCTTGCAATTTGGAGTTTTGCTCCACCACCAACAACACCATCACTCTGCCATAACTTGCGCACGTGCGAAGCTTGGACGTTCCGGTGTGGATTGTCAGTCCGAGGTCAACAGCTTCCCCATAGCCAATCAAACACGGCATCGATATGCCGATTGGCTGGAAACGTCGCATTACCTAATGGCCTCGTCGCACGTAGAAATGTGAGAAAATCCACGCGATTGCTCCACATCGAACCTCGAAATTTCGATTGTTCACCAGTGGTGGCGGCACCATTTCCAAACACGCTCGGTTGCCTTCACATCCGCAAAATAGCATGGGAATTCTGGGAGCCAAGCGTGAAGCCCAACTCAAGGCTGGCATCGAACAGTGGCTGCTCAAGAAGACTGACGATGCCCCTGAACTCAAACAAATCAAGAACATCCTTAAGACCCACGACACCCAGCACCACTTGCTTCCTCTGGCGTTCCACAAACGCATCAAGCCGCCCGTGTCACCGCCTAGACGCCTGCTGTTCAAGGCCGAAGTGGTGGCTGGCAAGCGAGTGCCGTTCACCAAGGCGTTGGCCGTCAAAGACCGCAAGCGCATGGACGTGATCTACGAGTCGGACGACTACGAAAAGGAGAAGCGCCAATCGACGTATTCGACCCAACTGCTGCTGCACTAACTGACGTGTGTAGTACCAAACTATTTAATCACTAAGTTATACTTCGAAGTACTATTATTCACCAAAACTTGAACGATCACACTAACGTAACTACTGTATTAATCGTAACGTTATGTGTTTTGTCGAGGTTGAAATTGACGTACAGTACCAGGCCCATACAACTTAGAGTTAGTTGTGATTGTCAGCTTGGATCTTTCACAGTCGTACTGTTAAAGTCAGGTTTGATGTCCAGCTATTAGATTGATGAAACGAATGATATATCAACATTCAGTGCCATTACAGTACCATTCTCGTGAGTGGAAGGGGAGCTTACTCCGCTTCCTGGTGCCGATGCCAATGACCTGAGAAAACCGAGGATTGAACCAGCAGACCATGAGAATGTCCATTTCCTACTTAAATCAAGCGTAAATTGATCTCGAAGTAGACGCGCTCCCAACTGAGCCAATAGAACTGGTCAATGTGGGCATGAGATTGTACAACAAGAATGAGTACTCTTGACTGTCTGCTAAGTGCAAAGTGCATGTCTACTGCGGCGACGGGGGAACGAGGCCAAAGCGATCTTCAAGCACATTCAACACCTCGGCCGTGGACGTCAGTGTCTTGGATTCCACCACTTGTCCGTATTCAATGTGGTTGAAGGTCATGCCTAGGAGGGATAACAGACCAGCTTCCGTCCGCTTGGCACACGTTGCAGCCTGCGTAAAGCGACTGTGAGGGCTGGTCGACACATACCAATTCGCTGGGATGTAGTCGGCGTGCGCCATCAAGTTTTCCGTGGAGAACACGTAGCTGGCGTGGAAGTCGCCAGCCTGTTGAGTCTTGTAGTACACCCCCCAAAACGTACTCGCAGCAGGAGGAGCAGTCGCGACGAGGAGAAAGTCCCCGGAATACGTTGACGGGGACGCGTGGCGTTCAAGGTGCACTCGCTTCAGCTGGTACTTTTCCCCTCCCTTCGTTTCCACAACGTGATCTTCGTTCAATGGCAGCGGCGACGGAGGTTGACCCCGGCCCCCAAACCCTACATCACAGAGGTACCTAACCCACATCATGAGCACCTCTGGTACATCCAAAGGGTAGAGTGCAGCACGCACTGTGACGTTTCGCCTTCGCATCGTACAAGCATGATCATGTGGCTCAGACCAGTCAATCGCAAGCCAGCACTTGCGTCCGATTGGAAAGGAATCACAACTCGAGCCGCAAGGGTGTCCACCGTGAAGCCAAACGCACGCAACGCCGCAGCCAGCAGCGCATTTTGCTCAAAGCAGTAGCCTCCACGCTTGTCCGTCACTAGCTTTTGAAAGATCTTGTCAGCATCCAACGAAATGCGCTCGACTGCACTGTCTTGGACGTGACCACGGTCCACAGGAAAGACGCCACATGCCGCAAGGTTCTCGAAGGGAATGGCCAAATGGTGATGGACAACAACCTTGGTCAAGAAAGCCAACGAGTTCTCCGAGCCAAGTTCCACAGGGTCTGTTGGAAGTCCGATGCGCTCGAGGTAAGCCTCCTTGTCAAAGGGCAACGTCGATGACATGTCGAGCCAAAACGCTGTACCTTCCTGGACAAAAATAGAGGAATGCTCCATCAACCCATGGGAGCTGTGAGCTGCTGTTTGCATTCGATTGCATTCGAACAGCCAATTAGATTGCTGGAATAGTGGGTGTGGCTACCATGGAGCGATCGCCGTGTCACATGAACTTTCTACGCAATTGTCGATTTTTGGACAAATATCACAAACGAAAATAAGGGATACAAATATCAAGATAAACAAAGAAAACGAGAGTGAATGTCAACATATAAAATGTTTGTCTTGTATACATAATTTCACAGTCGGCGAATACAATAGAGTACAGTACTCTGGAGTAGAGTAACAATATCTGTGGGCAGAGTGGGAAGTGAAACATGCAGACCCGGTCACACCACGGCACACAAATATCTGGGTGCATCTCTGTAGGCCCGCAGACTTGAAGTACCATGGTAACCATGTGGAGTATCCAGGCGCACTTCGGCACTAATGACTTCGGGTTTTGCACTATTCTGTGTGCTCCTCGCCCGCAGTCCGTGTGCTCTCCTCCTGGATTTCTGCTCTGCCAAGGGATTTCCTCCTTTTTGCCCTTCAATAATGTGGACTCTGGTTTGAGATTGCTCCGCTCCCAGACAGCCTGGGGGCAAGCTGCAACCCGAGTCAAGAGGAGGACACGAGGTTTGCGAGGTGTCACACGACACTGGAATTGAGAAGAACTCCATTGCGGTGTACAACACAATAATAGAGTTATCGGTATGACTGTGAGTTGAGATAGCCCAGAATACTCCTTAAATTAATAAGCCCTTTGAAATATAACCACAGATGTCAAATCGATTGGAGGTTCAAGCGCTCAATCTCCCTCACTGTCAGCTCAAAATCGGAGGAAGATAGAAATTCATCCGGATATTGGTCGATGTTAGCGCACCATCCATCCATTTCAGGAGTAATCAGCCTTCTATGGACTCCCAGTCATTTCCATTGAGATAAGTGTATTGCCTTGCAGTAAATATATCCCATGTAACGTTAACGATTCAGTTATGATGATTGGTCCAAACTTGAATTATTTAGGCCAATTGTAAACCGATGAGATTGTTTCCCAAGAACTTGAACAAACAAAATTTATTAACAAAGGAGAAAGCTGCTCTGTGAAGGTCCAAAAATCGGGATATACTGTAGTGTAATTACAGTATTTAGTTTGAATCAAGGACTTTGGTGGATAACTACCCAGTACAAAGACTTACGGGACAGCATTTAATAATTCGAAGTACTTGGTTGTAAAATATTTTGGTACAGGTGTGCCCATACCACTACACATACAAAATCTTTAATACTCGGAGAGGTGTACTCACCGGGTTTGACCGACAACCACTGCACAGGCCTGACGCGTCCGGC